GGTAATCAGTTGACATCTCATTATTTCATTCATATTTTTTGTTAATTATTGTAAATTCTTATATTATATTTAATTATGAATATTAAAATATACCGCACAGTTTGTAAATTTTTAAAATAGTTTAAAATATTTATCTGTATATTAACCAATAAGAGCAGCGTAAAATTCAAATTTTTAAATACTCGCTTGTAATTGGTTATTGCATTTTTTAAATTTTCAAAATGTTATTTTACTTGTTTTCTTTGCTGATTGTTTCGAATTCTTTAAAACAAGCATGAGTTGTATTTAAAATTAAAGAAAACTAATCTATAATCCAGTTCTCAGGTCATTTATTAATAGAAACGTCTGTTTTGTTGTTTGTCATGTGATCCGTTTAGGGGATTATAACGTATAGAAGGTTATAAAATTGTTTTTTATAAAAAGTAAAAATACTAGAATGATGTAGATGCCGAAATTTGCAACAATTTCCATCAACAAAAACTGGTTAGTGAGCTAGAGGTCATTTCCCTGACTTCTCTATTTAAATAAAGCTTGTGAAATGTTTACCTTTAGTTATAAAGAGAGAGGGGGAAAAACTTGCTAATGAAACAAGTGGATCGAAGACGGAAGAGGCGATCATGTTTATAGTTTTCGAATCACCTTCATGTATTGTGGCGTGACGAATAACGGCTCTCTTCTCACGTGACCGAACCACATTCGTGTCTCGCGTGACACTTAGAAACAGTTATTTCCGATTGTTCGTCTTGTTTGAGAAGAGGTCAAGTCCATTGATGACTCGATAATGTAAGAAAATAAGACAAGAACGCATAAAAATCATACATGATTAAATTCAAGCTGCAATAATTTAAAAAATGGGCGTCACGTGACCCCCGGCGGGAGTCACGTGACGCCCATTTTTTAAATATTATATGCATTTAAAATAAAGGAAGATCAATTTATTCTGGTTGCAAAGTGTTTCCCGTCTTTTATAACGAAATTACGTCATATCACGAGATATTTTTACCGTAAAAAAAATTCCTGAGAAAAATTTTCACCCTGGTTTTTTTATAATTCGCCTCTCAAAGAACAAAGGAAAACGTTAGTTGATTAAGCTTTTAAAATTACCATTTTTTTCAATTATAACGCGTTAAAACGAAACTCGTTAAAACGGGGTATTGCATCAACACGTATCAACCGGAAGTTAAGGAGTTTAAGAGCCTCGCCCGGTTCCAAAATGGCATTTTTTAAGAAAATTGCCTATCTCATTCTATTCTAGAAGAATGGGATCCTTAGAGAAGTGACAAAATAATTTTGACTTTTAATTAACCTTCAAAAAGCCACCCTATTCTTCTTCAATGACGAGTGTTTTAAATAGTTCAAGCATTAGCTAAATAGTCAAAGACGAGGGAGGAATAAAGGGTGAGTAAGGAAGAAGAGGCTCCATTGGGTAAGACTATAGCCATGGAGGTCAATGACCCTCTCAAAAGATTCCAGACCGGTCTGTTATATCTCTCATCATTGGAAAGCGAAGAGTCGGGCGACCTTAGCCTTTGACCTGATTTTCTTGTTTCTCTTGGCTTATCTCTAACAGATCGAGTGGAATTCATAATTAATATAAGATACATATTAGCATGTTAATGGGATTAGAGGGGTGGTCCGATAATTACTTTACACCTATCTCGTGACGGATGGTATTTTACTATCGTAATTGATAGAAACCATTGTGTTTTTTTGTTATTTATTCTAAGAAATAATTAGATGACTATTTATTTGATTATTTAGGAAATTTCTTAAGCGTATATTTTTAATTTTTATGGTTTATATCCCGCTGTTCGTTCTATAAAGATTAACCACATCCGCATTCAAAATATTCATTAATGACGCGATATAGTATTCTTGGAATTTTGCTCACCGTTTCCTGTATACGTTCTGTGTTATTGAACTTTAAATAAAGTTGTACGTATTATTTTATACGTAAAATTATCATGATCATCAGAAGAGAAACGTGGCCATTACCAAGAGATGCCCAAATTCCAGTTAAATTAAACAATGCTTTTAAGAATTATTACGGTAAAAATTGTTATTACAAATGCAAAAAGAAAGCCTCTTAATACTTACTTAAAACGTGGCCTAAAATTATTTAAATAAACAAAATATTGAGCAACTCTTCTACAAAGCATCCTTCCAGATGCAAGATATAAAAAAAAACCTGAAATGTTGAAAAATAAATGATTTAATCTTCGATCGAAAGACATTAAAATTTCATTTTCTTATACATTTCTTTAAAAATGATGTAGTTTTTTAAAATGGTGATCATGCTTATTGCGAGAGGGAAAAGAAGACATTTGCAAGATTGCACGTTCTCAGCATTATTTAGAAATATTTTACTTTTGGGGCAACTCACCTTAGTGGACATCACTCGGGGACTTGTATAAAATCATTTTAAAATTGATACCGAAGATTACGCGACGTGATATTGATGAAATATTAACTCTTATCTGCATGATGTCAACAAGTTTAATATCTTTCCTCTGGATAATTCGATTTTCGTTGGCGTTAAAGCACTTTGCTTTAAAACAGTAAATCGTGCCAACTTTTATATAAAATACGATCTTCTCGGCCATATTCTTAAACAAAATTGGCTAAATTTTAAATCATGAATGCCTTCTAAACATATTTAATAATGTATGAAAACAACTTATTGGATTAATGTCAATTTCTTCTGTTTGAAGGAGGATAAAGTCAGAAATAATAAACGACGAGGATGAAGTCTGGTTCATGAAAACGTTCCTTTGCTTTATTTTCGTTCATGTCTAGGAAATTACAAAAAATTGTCGGTGGTAGCGACTATAGAATTTGTGGAAATGGGCTCTTAAAAGAGGAATATTAAAAAAATTATAGGAAAAAAAACCTAGTTTCTATTTTAGAGCATATTTGTTTACGTAGAAACATAAATCCTTTAAATTCCCGCAAAATAGTCTTTTCGGATAAATTTGGTAACAATAAAACCGTTGAAAAAATAAACTAAGTAAATATGTTTTTAAATAAAAATCTTGAAAAAAATCACAATTTATTGGTTGCATTTAATCTTTTTTGTATAAAATTCACGAAAGAAAAAATCAAATTGGATATAAAATTCAATTTCTTATTTTAAATTAATTAATTAGTTACTTTTTTCCTGCAATTTAAAAATACTAGTCGATTATTGGTTGATCAGTATTTGAATTATCCAATAATCTGTTTTTCTTATTTTCTATTGATTATTGGCTAATTTTATTTGAATTGTCCAATAGGATGCGTTTAAAGAAAGAAAATTTCTTTCTTTCTGTTGATTGGAAGATTCGAATATTTTTAAAATTGAAATAAACGGATTAACGGACTAAGTCTTCGAAATAACACATTTTATCGATTATATTTAACCTTTTGTGTATATATTTATAAAATGTAATTTGTATAAAATGAAATAAAAATAAAATAAAATTAATTAAGAAATTAAACCAATAATAATACTTAATAATTTAAATTTCTTTATTTAAGCACTTCCTAATTAATTACTTTATCGATTTTTATAAAATTTAATAACACCAATTCGTTATTGGTTAGTCATTATTTAAATTATCCAATAATCTGTTTTTGTTGTTCTAAAAAATAAAATAAGTTTGATTATTAGTTGATTTCAATTTGAATTGTCCAATGGAATGCGCTTAATTTTAAATTTTCTGTTTTAATCTTCTGTTGATCGAGAATTTAAATATTTAAATCGGAATTTTTGTAATCAGTTTTATTATTCAAATTCAAATGAATGAATAAAGCATTACAATAAGATAAAATTGTAAATTAAAATTAAATTAAATTACAAAATTATTAATAAAATGTATACCTCTTTTAAGTAATTACTACTTAATTAAATAATTATTCTAAAACTTAAAACCTTAATTGATTATTGTTTAATCGCTATTTGAATTACCCAATAATCTAGTTTGAAAAATGAAATAAGAATGATTATTGGCTAACTGTTATTTGAATTATCCAATAGAATCCGTCAATATTTATTGTTCGTTTTAATCTTCATTCGATTGGACGATTTGAATATTCGATTCGTGATTTTTGTTGTCGGTTTCATTTTTAAAATTCAAATAGACCAATTACCTTCGCGATCGTCAAAACGTAGTTTTTATTGGTCAAATTTGATTTTATTATTTAAAAATTTGGTTAAAAAATAATTAAATCTTATAAAGTATAATTCTCTTAACTTTTTATACTAGCGCAAAATTATGTTATAATTAAAAATAGCGAAATAACGCTCGATAAGTGTTTACGTAACGACATTTACTTTAATTAATTATGAAAATTAATTAAAATAAAGTATTAATCCCAAAACTGTTATTAATAAAAGGTTTAAGTATAATAACGAATTCAATGCTCCTGTCAAATAAAATTATCATCTTGTCAAAAAGCAATCACATCAGAAAAAAAATATATATAAAGCGTGTCTGTTAGCTAAGAAATTTTTAAAATCATTTTCCACGTGATCAAGTAGGCCCGGGAGGTATCATATGTAAACTTTATGACTCCGATAAGACACTCGGATGGTTTACATCACGAGAAAGTTAAAAGAAAAGGGGGAGAAATGTGTGCGAAGTCAATTGTTAGCTAAAAATCGTGGAGTCGAGGAAGGTGATCGATCGAAAATCACGTGACCTTCAGTTTAACTAAACAAGAGTTGTAATTAAAGTTCTGTCGAACATAAACAGATTAACTATTACTCAGCTAATGAACACGATCCCGAGAGAGAATGTTTATCAAGCTGGAGACTTATTGCAATAAACTGAATAAAGGAACAGAACACATCTAATGAGTACTGCAGAGACTGAGAGACATATTAGTATATAAACACGATAATAGCTACTTTGAAGCATTAGCATAATTATAAAATTAGACACGCTTGTAAAATATATCTTTAAACAAAAAGATATTTATAGCTATATATTGATTTCTTTTTTCAATTTTATTTTTTCTAGATCAAAATTTTGCTCCAGCCGATTCTAACAGTACAACTCCAACTAAATCGTTTGTTCCATGTAAAGTTTGCGGGGATAAAGCTTCCGGTTATCATTATGGTGTGACTTCTTGTGAGGGCTGCAAGGTGAGTAAAAAATTCATCCAGAAATTGTCCGCTGTAAAACATTAATTCGGTACGTGATTGTAGCAGATAATGGGAAAAATTCTCAGTTTTGTAGTTGTATCATTTCTTAACATTGCTATTCAGTGGTGCGGAAAAAAGAACGATCACGATAAGATCGGTCAATAATAATGGGGGAGTAGTGTAAGCAATTAACCTTTATTATATAATTAATGTTTACATATCTATATAAACAGAAGAATCGCGAGGAAGCAAGCTTTCTGCTTCTGTGCCGCTACTTGTTATGCTACTATACAAACAATGATAAAAGTTTAATAATTAATTATCGAAATTTATTTTGTAAGCACACTTTCTCTGCTACTTTTGCTAATTGTGAGAGTAGGCCACGGCTTTTTTCTCTTACGTCCGCTCCGAAGGAGATATAGGTCGACATAAAAGCAAACATAACAAAAAAATCAAATACAGTATTATTATAACGCACTGTACTTTTCAGGATGGACATTGCTACAAATGATTGCTCCATTTTATTTTCGGCTCGAATATACGCGAATTATTGTAGGATATTTTACATGTTCTTGGAATATTTTCATTATTTTAAACTGATTTTTTAATTCCATTACTTTTTTGCAATGATATGGAATTGAAATGACGTTTGCGACTACTAAATCGAGTGTCGCCATCTGGTTTCCAGAATTCGTATCTGAGAAAACACTTGATAAATCGATACGTTGAAGTATTTTTTGATTTACGAAATTGTTGTTTTTGAGTTAATATCCCTTTAAATTATAAAATTATAAGATGTTGGAAAAGCAATCTTTTTTTCCATTAATGAAGTAAAAGCTTCATTGATACAAACAATGGATCATTTCTTTATATCTGTCTAAACAAGACAGCATCTGTTATAAATGGAGGAAATGAGGTTATTCTCCCAAACCCAGTTATCATTCAGATCAAAGAGACGTTGTTTTTACACAATAACTAGTTCTGAATCCCGACCGTTCTCATTTTATAACATTGAATCCATATTATCCATTGTTTGACTTATATTATGACATTTCTATAAAATTTTCCTTACAAATGACTAAACTTATGTAAAAACCTATTGAGATTTTACAACGTAATATAAATTTCCGTAAAGTTTACGTTATTTTAAGTATCAAGGATTATTATCCGAGTATTAAATTTATTAACACCCGAAGCAGCTTCGTTCAAGAATCGATAAATGGACGGTCCGGATGCGTGCTGCCATCTGTCGGTGGCCGTCGGAGTTTATGTGTTTTATGAGTATTATTATAATTATTACAAAATTAACATGATATTAAATCAATTTTAAGAAAATCGCGTGTTGCAATGTATCAAAATACTTCTGGATATTTAATAAAATAAATGTCGAAATGAGGCCAATCGAAAAAAATTTCGCTTATTTTCTTCCATTAAAATAGATGGCATATTTAGCAATGACTGGCCTCTTTCTCTTCTTGTATATAACTTTAAATTTAGCCAAATGATGGCAATGTTTGCATTGTTTTGCAACATTTTTCGAAAATGTTAGAGAAATCCTTCTATTTTCAAAATATTGGTATTTTTAGATATGTAAAGCATTATCATTTGGAAAATGGTCGTAAACGGATATATACAATAACTAAATCGTCATCAAACATCAAATAAAACACGTTAAACACACAAAAATCCAATTTTTAATCATAAAAAATAGTTTTTTCAATTTCGCCCCCGTAATTGGTTTAATTTAAAAATGTTTAAAAAATCGACCAATCAATCGACACCTATTAAAACATTCGAATAGTTACGATGTTCTTCATTGGTTAGATTCTTAAAATAATCTAAATAAATTGACAAATGGCTCTCTCTCTCTCTCTCTCTCTCTCTCTCTCTCTCTTTACTTTAATCTAATCAATGTTTTTGAATGTGAAATATGTCAACGAATTCTATTGGTTAGATGGGATTTTAAAATTTAACCAATTACGAATAAAGAATGGAATTTTTGTAAAAGTTTTCCATTTAATCGAATTCTTAAAATATTCAAATGAAGAAACATTATAAAATGAGAATTAAATGGTTCAGAAAAACGTAATTCTTTTAAGAAAAAAAAAGAAAAGAGAAATTAAACGATATCGATCAGCCATCTTGCACTTGACATTATGCCATACAAAATTATATAGGATAGTAAAAGTGTGTGCTTAAATTTAATCGGTAGATAAATAAATTAATTAATTTAATGCGTAGAATCCTAAAGGAGAGAGAAAGAAAAAGATATTTTCGCAATATTAAACTTTTCTGGAGGCAGAACTCGATAAGTTGTGATAAAATATTGCAACTTCACCGCCAAGACGTTTCACTTTGATGGAATTTCATCCAGCTGACAGATATATTGCCATTTGATTTCATAAAAATGGAATAAAAAGTGATGACTATACAATTTTTAGTATACGAGAAAGGAAAAAAACTGCTACACAGATCGTGTTTCTCCATCCAGACTGCAAGAAAAAAATAATTAGGATAGTTTTTTGTCCTTTCAACAGCTTACATTACTCTAAATGAATCTAATTAAATAATTTCAAAGAATTTATTGTTGTATGAACTTTCAAAAAGTTGAACAAACTGATATTAATGCCCTTTTCCTGTTTGAATTTTGAAAATTGCGTAAGACTTGCTATTGGTTGATTTTATTTCAAAATCATCCAATCGATGAATGGAATTTTTTTTAAATGTTTTCGTTGTATTATTGGTTAATTTAAATATTTAAATATAGATATAAATTTTAAGTTGAATTTTATTAAAAGTATTATTCATAAATGTGAGAAGAAACTGATTTAACATTCGTTTCAATAATATTAATAGCAAAATAGTATCGAACAGTCAAATAACGAAAGAATATAATGTTATAAACCTCCTTAAAAGCAAATTTTATGTAGTAGAAGTAACATATAACTATTTTATTGTGGCTATTATTCTATTTTCTCTTTTGGGTCGATCTTATGGCGATCGATATATTTCTCGCTATTTTTTTTTTATTATGTTATTTCTATTATCGACACCAGATGGTGCCATGGATTCATAACAGTAAATATTTTCATCTAACTGGAAATGAAATAAAATATTTTAACTTAATTTTTTATTTATTTTATAAATTAAGTTAATTTTATTTTATATAAAAATTTTACTAAAATAATAAATATACACGTATAATTTTAAAGACGTTATTACAGTATTTCTTACTAGGAGTGTTAGCAGTGTGCTGCCATCTAGCGACATTTTGAAAATAATTTAAAATTTGATTNTACATCGTGACATTCGCGTGGACATTTGCAGTGGTTGCACACCTTCCTGAAGGGCAAACACAAGTAGAAATTTTAATTAATAAATAATCAATAGGGAGATTAAGCAGCAAGTAACGCTTTTTTACCGTTTAACAGCCATTTGGGGTGGATATACTGTACTTTATCTTTCTACAACTAACGACGTCATTAACAACCATCCGGGTTTTATCAATGTGGGGCTGTTTATTCTTTACTGAATTTAGATACTAAAGAGGGGGGAGAAGCTTCTCTAAGGCTCGGTTCACACCGCAACTGACGCGTGGGTAATTTACGATCATATTTTTCACCTTCGAATTTCCCCAATTACTGTCGTTTATTGTCAAAAAGACGAAGCAAAATAATAATAAATTTTACTCATAAGATTTTCTACATATAAGATTTTTATTACTAAAAAATACTAATAATAATAAAAAAGTAAACTCGTAGCTATAAGGCTTTTAGTTCCGAAACCACCCGCTAAGTGTCGCTCGGTGGTTCCGCCAGATCCTGTCAATTAGCTTTTACCTCCGAGCGCCCCGCCAAGAGGAGAAGCGCTCTTCTGCTGCTGATGTCTGACCTTGACCTTTTATGACCTTTCGGGTCACTACGTAGAACGAATATAGGTCAATCAACGTTGATGGCCGTTGCGTGCGACAGCGCTGACGTTATAACGTGCCACGTCCCATAGAGCGGAAATGACTAGCGACTGCAGAATGTTAACCGAAATGACAATTTCCGCACGGACCGATGAGTATGGATGTCGTCCGAAATGAAGATGGCGAATAATAACTCGTGACCTTCAGAATCCATCTCATTAGCACCTGATTATCTTCCTGCTGCTCCACCCTTTTAGATAAAGGCTTGGTCATTAAGAACATCGCTTCCGTTTCAATAAAGGCTGGCAGCTCTTCGGAGGTCCTAAATTTTCTAAACGCCATCTACGGGGCAAAACGGAAACCAACGGAAGGGGATTGCGCGCAGTCTTCAGGAAGCGACCTCGTTTTCCGGAATGACACATAAGAGAGAGTTTGAAAGGAGGATGTTTGTGTTTAGCCCCTTAAACATATTAACTTTTTTAACATTTGGATGGGCACGGGTTCACACCCTGCCATATTTCTTTGCAGAGTCAACCAGCCAGAACGTTTTTCCCTTTCTGAGTGTAAGTTGCCCGAAATCTCGTGCAATGCGTGGGGACCCATAAGACAACTGACTTATAAAAAGGTACTTACGGGTTGGATTTACGTATTCGCCCGCTTGTTGACTTGACGGCCATGTTAATGATACGACGCACCCACCTGGACAACTAGATGGAGATGCTGGCAGGCGAATCAACTACTTAAAATAAACATTCGGCATGCCACAGAGTGCCATGACATGGGTACGTCGTTTCTTCAACGGCGCCCTATTAACTTGTCACCTGGCGGCAGAACAACTAGACGCTTTTTTCGCACCAACAAAAGTTGTGACGTCAGTACGCCTAACCAATCAGCGAATGTGTTGATGTGTGAAAGTTCAAACGCTTCGTACGCCATACTTTTTGCTATTTTCTGCTGCGTTTTAAGATTTTTATGATTCGAAATATTATTCTTACCTCCATAAATGAGGGCTAAAACCCGGACATTTCTCTTTGCAATTTCCGCATGGTTGTCCCTCTTCCACTTCTTGCACCAAAACCCCCTGAAAGTA